ATAGATCCCCGTTCAAATATAAATTATTCCATTGCCCGCTTCTCAAGTCGGCAAGTCGGCAAGAAACTTGAAAAATCTTACCCAATCTTTGTGCCTGGAGCAGAGGCGACAATTCTGACACCTCCCGAGCAAAATGCCCTCAAGTTCTCAATCCCGAACCATTTATTTCCTTTTTCGTTACTTTTTTTTTTTTTTTTCTCGTTTTCTTTTTCTCTTTGCTGGGTTGAGTTCGATATACACCATACATTCGGACTCCGAAGAACACCAGTCCAAACATCGATATAACGGTGGGAGCGAGAGCTGAGGAAGTGCCCGGAGCTGTTAGAGGCTAAGAAAACCCAAGGCCATGCGACAGTAACCGCGCCACTGGAGGCCACTGTACGTAAAATGCAGCCCCAGATGCTTCGCCAGAGTTTTGCAGACGTCACGCAATGCTAGAGCACACAAACTAGCTCACTTGCGTCGAGAATAGACGCCATATAGCAATGCCATATGCCATATTCAGAAGCATTCATATAACATGTAGAGATAGGTGACAGGACACATTTCACTTTAAGCAGGAGCGGACCCAGCGTAATGGTGGACAGGGATGACGATCGCATTCGTTTTGTTTATTTCTCATTCGCATAAGCTATGTTTTACGAGGCAGGTCCGGACAATGCGCAGGTGTGTCTAAATAAATAAATTTATCTCGTCATAGGTTCCCTGAAATAATTGGCTTTCTATGCACCAAATATATAAAATCACGATCTACCCAGCTCTTTTCCGTGATTTCGGGGAATACATCCGCATTTCTTCCAGCCTTCCATCTATCACCTCTTTCATATCGGCAATTTAATTTAAGTGAGCGCTAATTTGATCGAACTTCGCGACTCGACGAATATCGCGAAATATTGATTACCCGATTGTATTACGTGATAACCAATTCGTGGCACATCACTACGAATCGCAAACTTTGTTGCTCCAGAAATATTCCCGAAATGTGCACTTCGCCAACTTTTCGGAATATCGAGTCCCAAAAGACATGGCACCTTTACACAGTAAGTGCAAAAAAAAGCCAGAGGTAAGCGGAACGCGACAAAACCAAGAAAATCTTAACCGCGCGACAATAAAAGAGGAGGATAAAGCGCACGACAAAAGGCTCAGGGACAGCTTGGCAAGGCGGGCATCCGCGCGGCCTACCGAATATGCAGGCAAGCAAGCACGCCGGGGACTCGGCATTCCTAACGCGCCCTTCCCGTATCCCATACGTCTTGCTTTCGGCCACAAACAAGGTATCCGACCAACACACTCACTCCTCCCCCCCCCCCCCCCCTCTCTTTCCAAGCACACACGCAAACAAACAAACTACAAAAGAGATAAGGCAACCAAGAAAGAAAAAAGCAAGGGAGGGAGACTCGTGACGCATAGTGCAGCGCGGCCAACATCGCTCCCTTCCGCAGTAAATATTTATTAGACGTCCCGCGCCTTCTGGCAAAAGCCGTTCCCTCTCCCCTCGCGTCCCGAAGAACTCGCCCATCCGTTTGGGGTCCTCCGCGTTCGCGTCTGCTCCTCGGGCGCCATTTTAGAACCCATCCCGCCGGCCCGAACCGACAAAGGAGGCCCGCGGCTCGAGTCCCGCGTCGTGCGCCGTCGGCTGATCCCGAATTCATGGCGCAGGCTGGCCGCTTCGCGAAGCGTCGCCGGCGGCCCCAGTTTATTATCCAGGAGCCCGGCGTCTTCCAGGGCGCTGCCAAACCCGTTGGACTCGCGGCCGCCGCTGCCCAGCCTGCGGCCGCCCTTCACTTATTCAAGAGCGAGCGGCCCGGAACGAGACGACCCCTGCTCTCCCTGGAACTTGCGTCCGGCGCTAAGCCGAAAGGGCGGGTGCGAGCGACGTGCTGGTCGGACCAATCACACGTCGATCTCGAGCCACGTGATCACGCTACGACCGCTAACCCGGTCGCAGAGAGGCGAGTCAGGTGACGAGTAGGGAGGCTGCTCATTGGTCAGGCGAGCGGGTGCATCCCACCGCTTTGGCAGCTTAGGAGCGAACGCAGCAGCAGCGCCTCTCCGTCGAAGGAAAACCGGACTCGTGAGGCATAGGTGCACGTGAGGTCGTAAACACGACAGCGCGTGAGGGAACACACATGCCGGTTTTAACTAGTCAGGCCGCTTATCCCGGTGGGTAGATAAAGCGACCGGAGCCGGACTTTGACGCATCTGGACCCTCCTTTTCGTCTCAGAAAGGCAAGATCCCCATTTAATGCCCATGCTCATTGCCGCCCTTCCACCCAAAAAAAGAAAAAAAAAAAAAAGGATGGCAGCGAACGATTGCCGAAGAAGAAGAGGAGGAAAGGGGGGGGGGGGGGGGGGGGGCAATGCAGAAAGAGAGAACTTCAGAGATGAAAGGCTCGCTCTGATTTTAAATTCGCGATATCTCTGAGGGCCACCCTGCCGGTGCTCTTGCGTCCAATCCATTCGGAGTGCTTCCAAAGCGTCCCCCAGATACTCCGAATCCCAAATGTAATCTCCAACCGCTGGCACTTCGCCCCGTTGGCCGCAAACGACTCGCTCAGAAACTCCCCCAGAGTCCTTTTACGCTGACATCCATCCTCGAAAAAAAAAAAGCGCTCACCGTCGCTCAAATCCTGGGAGCCGAATACTGCTCGGTCATTGCGGTCCGATAAGTGTCCGCCCGAAAACACCCGACTATGTTCGTAATCCATCGCGGCCTTCCTTGAAAGCTCTCGAAGGGTTTGTAACTTAAAGATGGCGTAAAAAAGAAGACGCGGCATACGCCGATGTTCGACCATGTCCAGACGAAAGTACAAGCGACCGTTTAAGCGCAACGAAACGACGGGAATAACGTGCAGTAACAAGCGGTACAGCGCGGTAAGACTTTAATGAATCAAACTAGAGATAACTGTACTCCGTTCTTTGCTGAAACACGGCCTATTATACACAATACGCAATATAGTACCGCGCCCGAAACATTAACCTTTCAGCGAAACAAACAGACTAAATGATTATAAGTTCTCACTTGGCGTACAGGTCTGAAGGAACTTTCGAGTGCGGTGAGTGGCGCCTGTCTCTTCACGGCTATACGACAGAGCGCTTAACCGCTCCGCCCTTGCAGAAGCAAACAGGCGTGAGCACGCACGTAGTCGGTGGAGTTGACTGAGGGGGTACAGGGTAGTCGCTCAGTCCTGGGGCATTGAGAGCGGCGAGGGTCACAGTCGGACAAGAAGAGGAAAGGATCACAACAGAAGAGAGAGAGAAAAGGCGGGCGAGCTGGTGAACTTTCACCTGGACTTGCACTTGGGACCTTGAACTGCGTCGCCCAAAGAAAGAGCGTACTGCTGAAGCTACTGTCATGGCTCCGAACTCGCACACTAGTGTCGCCGAGGCGCAAGCTATGCCAAATTTAGGGGCCTCAAGTCATCCTTTTTTTGCTGAAAGATTGGGACCGCAAAGGGAACTAATGTGAGTGTCGTCATAACATCAGAAAATGTCATTTTATAAAACGTAAAATACAACAGCTTCTCTACCAAACCAGCACAATCCCGACGAATTGCCGGGAAGATAAAAAAGGTTTTCATCGCTCTTAAGGACGCTTCAGGAGCCACAGCGGGAACTGGGTTACGTCGGCACAGTTTCCATTTTGGATCGGGACGCAGGCCGCATGTGCCTCTCGAGAAACTGGAGCGTTTATCGAGCATCGTCTACTTGAACCAATTCACCGACATCGACAATACCTAAACCCCAAACTGGGGCATGGCAAAAAGAAAAGAAAAAATCTTTCAATTTCCTTCGAGAGCGCTTCAAACTTTCATTTTCATGCGGCGTGCATGCCAAAACAAAACAACCCTATACTAAAGCACGAGTGTCACTCTTTGTGTCAGGCGCGTGGCAGAAGTTTCTACGCTATTTCTTCAAGAAAAACAACAAAAACAAAACACAACAAACCTGAAGAAAAACAAATGGAGGACACAAGAACGAGTGACATTTCCGCCCGGTTCGTACGAGAAAGTGCTCTCGACTTGTGGCGTGCCGTCTTCATCCGCCGGCCTTCCTTTTCTGTCCCTCCGACTCAGAATTCGATATCTAAATTCCGGAGAGCATTCCCAAAGAAGCGCCGATCGCTTCTACCCAGAAGAATTCAATATCGGCGTTCCCGCCCAACACGTACTGCGCGGGGCTCCACGATCGGCTCCAGCACACGGAGTGCGCGTCCCGAACGCACCAAGACAGAGAGACAAAACGACATTCGGAAACTGCCGTGCGGACAAATCCGCGGACAGCTTCCCCCCTGATGCGCCGACTTACGCGAAAAGGCTTTCTTCACGTTGAAGTAAGGCGCGGCGGGGGGCCGTGCCGACACCTCCAAGATGGCAAGGCCGTACTGCTCAATCGTGGACGTCATTCAAAGAAGGCCAACGCGGGGCGCCGATTGGACACGACTGTTACGTCAGAGTTCGGCTGACACACGTCTTCTTCCTGATTGGATACGAGACAGAGTAAAATGCTGACGCTGCATTCGTGTCCAATCTCTGTCCCGCGTCGGCCTTCTTTCCATGACCCGGAAAATTCGGCAATGCGGCCTTACCTCTTAGAAGGTGGCCTGTGCCCGGCCGCCACCAACGCTCGAGAAAAACGTATTTCTCGCTCGTACCAAAACAAGCGCTGTGTTCCAGAAGTGTATAGAAAAAAAAATAAAAAAAAACGAAAAACGTCACTATTAAAAAAAAAAGTGAATAAGAGGATAAAAATATAGAAGCTCTGCCTCCGGCGCCAGCTTCGTCATAATACCGGAGGACTTAGATGCACAAAAGGGAACCACAGACGGCCAGGAAACGGCAGCGTTTGACGCTCTGACGCGGAGGATACCGTTTCCGCATGAATCGAACTCGCATCTTTCGAGAATAGCAGCTACGTCGCTGGGACGTCGCACCCGGAACTCCGGACGCCGTCGTAAAATCGCCCGAAATACTAAGAAAAGCCGAAGCTCGACGTCCTACCGTGAGATGAAATCCTGGAAGTTGAATTCCTGCTCCATGGGGGCCCTCTCTTCTTCCTCCTCATCATCATCCTCCCTTTCCTCGTCTCCACGGTCCTCGCTCGCGTTCTCTGTAAAAGGCCACGAAAGACAGAGAGAAAGATTAAAACCGTTACAGAATACACCACCCAAGGGGCCCGAGGTCGAGCACACGACCCCGCAACACCGCCACGAACTCCGCACGAACGAGGGGGGAGGGTTCAGGTGGCGCAACTTGTACCCTAATCTCTGTTTCATACTTAGCGTGCAACGCTGTCAAAGCTACTGACGCGAGCGCGTGGCTTCATCTATGGTTTTGTTTGCGCGAGAACGCGCGCAAATGATCAACGAGATCAAGCCCCATGCTCGCGCCAGTAGCTTTGACAGCGTTGCACGCTAAGTATGAAACAGAGTTTAGTTGCAACGATTGAAAGGCCGCGGTCCCGCTGTTAAGACATCATACCAGGCACGTAGCAAGGGGGAAAGGGGGGGGGGGGCATGGGGCCCGACCCCTTCCCCCCCCCCCCCCCCCCCCCCAAGATCGTCCATTTTGCTGGGGCCTCCTCTCCTCCCTCCCTCTCATACAGCGATTTGTCATGGGTGCCCCCCCCCCCCTATAAAAAAAAAAAAATCTTGGTACGTGCTTGCATCATACAGTACCGTGCGCAGACACTAGGGAGTTTTAGGGAACCGTGTTTGCACATCCGATACCGTGCGATGGGCACTACGGTACGAACTGCGCATGTGCGAGTCTTCTGCTACGGCGCATGCGCAGTTCGTACCGGAGGGCCCATCGCACCGTATCGGATGCGCAAATACTGTTTCCTAAAATGCTCTACCGCCCGCGGGCGTGTTGCGAGCATGGATGATGCAAACATGCCTCGAACGTCTTTGAGGCGTGACCGCACATAATTCTGTCATCGGGTCCTTCGCGCGACCTACGAGCAATGCAGGCAACTCGATCGACCGATAACACACTCCGCTTCATCGTCTAGTCGCCACTCGACATGCGCCGCAATCGACGGGCCGGTCGTTTCACACCGCAGCGACCCACGACCCGACAACAATCGCTTTAATCATAAGTTGTTTTTGTTGTTTTTTTCTTGCTTTTGAACGCCGTAATTTGTTTACTCCGCGAAAGGTCAGGAAGCCGACAAATGGTCAATAGTGCGACAGAAACCGGTGTTACGAAAAAGAAAGCGTCCCCACATTATCGGAACCCCTGTGCCACAAGCTGACGGACTTGCATTCCGCACAGCTGCATTTGTTTCCACTGCACTCGTCGAACACGCTAGAACGCGGAACGACGGCGTCTGGCTCTCGGATGCGAACGTGTTGGACGGATGCACTGGAGAGAACGGCAGTTTAGGACGACCCACTAATCATGCTCCAACCAGAACTAGGCTTTTAGACATGCGCGTGTCCACGTTCACCAACGCCGAACTCGTTACGAAAATAATAACAATGGGTGTGTTGTATGTAATTTTATACAGCCGAAAGTCAGTCAGCCTTAATGGACGTCTGGTGTGTAGATAAGAAAATTTAGCCTGCGCAGTACAACTGCTAGCTCGGGGTCGTTTGATATTTGATATTTTATTGAACTTTGGGTGGGTAGGGACGTGCAGGGTGTGCAGGTGTTACGGAAAGGCTGGCGCCCATGCAGTAGGTATGCCCATAACACCAACCCGCACGTCCTCTCTGTACAGTTTTCACAGGTTTACAGCTCGCAGTAGGGATACACGTACGCACACCGGTACGATGCTCGTCCAAATCGAAACAGGCGGGGTTGGTGTTTGAACCCAGAGTCCATCGGCTCGTTGTCGTTACGAAACTCGTTTTAAAACAGCGAAGACAAAAATGGTGACACGTCTGACAAAACAAGCAGGATCTTCGAAATAGCACTGTTTAATGGTTTTACCATTATTTCGTTTTTCTCAAGTCAATCCTGATGACGAGAATTGATTTTCCGAGGCGTGCGACGAACAAGGATTTAGCCGACGTCCTGCGATCTTGTAATTGGCTGTCGCCCGCAGGTGTTACCGAGAGCAGACAGGGCCATTTATGGCTCGACAAGCTAAAACAGATTTCAAACAAAACAAAAAAGTATCACTTTAGACCTTAAAGCCGCGTCAACGTCCGCCTGTAGAGGTCGGCGAAAACAGTTTGGGTGTTATGATGCAAACAAAGCAGTGTAATTCCATACTTTAAAGCTCGTTACAATCGATTTTACGCCATTCTGTTCTTCGTATTAGCTGTCTATTTTTGGGACTGAACGAACGAAGTGTATTTTCTATTCATTCTCCAGTGACCCCGTACAATCAAAACAAAGGGGGGGGGGGGGGGGGGTAACATTAGCGGTTTAATACAAGCACGCCCAGATAATGAAATATGCTACGTGAAACGCAGGTTCGCCCTTCTTCTACGCACTAGGTTATGGGCCCTGCCTTAGGGCCAAAATCACCCGCGACCCGTGCTATGATTAGAACAGCTCTATGACAATTAGGACGGTTTCAACAATGCCAATGACTTATTATTACATTTTTACAGGTACTTAAGAACTTATGAGGCACACTCTCGATCAGAGCGCTCCCCCATAGACGCTAGGAGAGTGATAATAGTCACCAAAAAGTGCTTTTGAAAAGCGTTTCGTGGCACATCCCTCCATGCATATCCAGGTATTATGCCATCATATCAAATGTCACTTGGCCATCGGGGTCATGGCTCTCCGGGCTGGTTCGCCAGTTGAACCCTTTGTGTGAAATGAAAGAAAGGCCTCGGGAATATATCCCTCTGATACGTGCATACATTGGTAGCTCAATTAATTTGTTTTTAATTTGAGTTTTGTTTTAAGAGAACGAAGAAGCAGAACAAATGAGCGCTCCCCTTCTGTTGCAGGTGCAGGCGCTGCCGTGAACAACCCGGACGAGAGCCCCGACCCCAAGCGGTAAGAACGAGCTACAGCATTCAAGCGCTCTTCAGTAACATAGTAGCAACAGCTATACTTTATCGGTGAACAAAACAAACAAGAAAGCTGGGGGCGTGTGAATATTCGAGTTTCGACTTCGAATCTAATCCGAATAACCCGATTTGATTTTCGGATTCCCAGTATTCGAGTTTTCGAATATTCTGGTTTCTGAAATATTAGTATAATGTTCGCAAAAAATACAGGTTCCTTTAAGAACGCTGTTGACATGGTGAAATAGTCCTTACAAGGCTGTAATGGATCTAAATCAAACATGCATTCAGCAGCTTTGACTAACGAACCATTACGACGGAAAGTAGTTTCCTGCCTGTGTTTCTCGAACGGAGAAGTGAAGCCGGAAGCTTCTTCGAGGCGCTCGACGAAACTCCGAAAAGCAAGCACGTCGCCCTTTGGAATTTAAAGGTTTTCAGCAACCTGCAGCCCGTTCTGTGCACCATAAGCCTTGTTCTCGATGGCTGAGTCCATAATATGACAAATTATTACCTAACTGCAAATAACAGCGATAATTTAGTCGCTCTCTTCCCCTAACCCATCGCTCCCTGGGGCGTCGACCGACGTGCCAGGTTTAAGTGACGCAAGGCGTGACCCGGTTCCAACGGACTTGTCATATCCGTCCATTCATCGGGCCCGCTGCCCATCCGCGCGTAAATGGGTGGACACGTCCGTCCGCTACGTCTTAAGTTTATCGTTTCAATCTGATCATTAACTCTGCGTTCATTCGTGGAATCTTCTCTTCGTTCTACGAGCCCAGTAGGGGAATTAACACGAAACTAAGCGTTTTAAAGCGAAATGACATTCCTGTTTAGCCTTTGGAAAGAGAACAACGCTACGACGACATACGGTCAAAGAGAATGGGCCGACTACACCCCTTCCTCCCCCCCAACAAAAAAAAAGAAGAAGAACATTAAAGCGAGGGGAATTCGCCAGTAGAGTAAACTTTGAAAAGAACCAGGGAAAAAAGAAAAAAGGAAAGGAAACGGTATAACGGAGACGCAGCGACGCTGAACACGGCGTTTCGTTCCTGAAAGGCTGAGACGGAGGTTCCCGTCCGGTGCGATCCCCGTAGAACACTATTCTGCATATGACGGTTTGATCAATATATTGAAAGACAATTGCATTTTTTTTTTTCCTAACCCATGCCGCTTTTCTTCTTTTTTTTTTTTTTTTTTAGTATTTGCAATATTAACTACTTTTTAGTTAAGTTAATACTGGGAGAAACGGTTGGCTATTCGTATTCGATTCGATATTCCACTTTTGGCCGTTATTCGGCACTATTCAATTCGAATTCAAATTGAGTTAAAATTTCCCTACTCGCGCACCTCGAAAGAAAAGAAGAAAAAAAACACTCAGAAAAAAATATTAAAATCAATATTCGCGAACACATAGTGAGAAGTCGTACAAAAAGGGGCGGCACAACCGAAAATTTGCCGACGCCCTGCGTCGGCAAGTGCGCTCTACGTGCTCATAAAATTCCCGTTTTGCGTTTCTTCGGAAATACACCGATTAATCACGCCGCACCGTAACCCGGAAAAAAAAAAAGACGCATAAGCAATAAAAAAAAAAAAAGACGAAATTACGACTCCCCACCTCCTTTTCTCGGCCGTTTCGGCATCACTTTTCGCGAATAATGAAATCAATTTCGAGAACACAAAGAGACTCAATCTCCCTCACGAGCCGTAATCGAAGCAAGAGCATTCGCTTAATTATGTTCACTCCCAAACTGAGAAATAACGAGGAGAGAAAGGGCAACCACGCGCCCGGTTCCAAAAGCGCGCAAATCGAGGGGGAACCCGCGCCCGACACCCGCTCGCGGCGCCCGGAATACTTTCGGTTTTTGCTCAGGCACCTCGACGCAGAGACGCGTTCAACGCGCACGTACGCAGGACCCCGCAGACAACATGGCGGCCGCCAGCGTGCCGAGGGGCCGTGCCGCTAATTAGCAAAACTCATTAGCGTGACCGCAGTAACCACTGGCCGACAACAAAGGGCCCGACGCGCGCGCGGGAGGAGCTGGGAAAAAAGCGGGCCTCCTGCGTCAGCTAGACTGTCCTCGATCCTGCCGCCTCTCCCGAATGTATAGGTAATTCGAGCAGAATGTTACATTGTTGT